TTATATAGCGTAAAATGATTTTCGTTTAAGGTTTCTTCAGTGTAGTCGTCTTTAAACGTGCAATTGAGCATATTAACAACTAGTTTAAGTACACAAAACTAAAGCAGCTCATCTCAAACTAACAAGCCATTAAATTGCTCAACTTAATGTTGCACAAGAAAAAGCGGAGCAAATCCTTCAACCACGAAAACAAATTACCGTGAAAAACCACACCATAATTTTCACATGTAAATGTAAGTAGCAGATTTTATGTTCTTACGAGTAGTGAAGAGCGAAATGATTTTAAAGTGAACACACTACTGATGCCATTCCGTAATTATGCCAAAGTACGTAAGTATTCTTCAGCTGATTCTATTTTAGTACATCTGAAATAAAGTAAAATAAAAGTAAGACCTAAATCTGTGTCTTCGTTTCATATATGGTATGGAGTGCGAGTTACTCGAATGTTTCATGATTTTGTAGACTTTAATTTTTTTATTTATTGCTATCATTGTAAGGACTTCAAAAACACCTAATAGGAGCACTCGTTGACAGGATGTGTATAATCATAAGCTCTTCCTTAATGCCTTTGTGCTTTCATTGTGCTTTTGTATTAAGAAGGAAATAAGTTTCGCTTAAACTAAAGTGCTTAGGATAGCATTTGCAAGTAATGCGAAGGACTTAAACGAAATGAAATAAATAAAAATTGTATCCATGTAAAAAATGGTAAATTTATTTTAAATTATTCATTAGACGGAAAACGAGAAATAAGGTAAATAAAAAAATAAAAACTTACTTTAGTCCGTGGACGTATACCATATACCCGTACGGAGAGAAAAGTATTTTTCGCTGTATTCTTCAGGTCCTAAAGGAGCATCTCAAAATAAGGAGCAACCTTTTAAATTAACGAAAACTCGGTTAGAATTTTAGTGTACGTCTGTGTGTATATTTTTTCACTAAAATAAATATGAAGAATGTTTAAAAAATGGTGCTTAAAATAAGAACTAACAAGCACATCTACACACACACACACACACACACACTCACTAACTAGGACATCACAATGAGGCTTAGCCAGGACAAAGGAGATGTGAACAAAAGATGAAACAAAACAAATTTCCTGTCCACGATGCCATGACTGTTGAGCGCACTTTTAGGCATCTTTTATTTGTATTGGATTTATGGAAATATTACTCACAATTCGTACATATTTGTCTTGCAAGGAATTTCTAATTCCTGATGATATTCTTGTTAAAGTAATGCAAACAATTTAGGTAACCAAATAAATAATAACAAATTCCTTTAATATAGCAATTTATTTTAAAAATGTCTGTATTTTTTGGAAGTGGAACTAACTGAAGTAATTACTCAATACATCTTAGGAGTACTCATCTGTGACATTTGATACGACGAAAGTTGGGATTTCGAATAAAATCCAACTCTGAAAAACATTTGGTTTGGTAAAAAAGTATGTGATTCTAAAAATCCATTTTGACCATAACGGAAAAATATTATTCTGTTGTATTATTATAAATTATATGAACGATATTAAATAATGTTATCGACTGACTAAGAACCAAGCTTACGGATTAAGAGCTTAATATAGACTTGCATAACTGTGGGATATGTACATATATATATATGTATATATATATTTGACTTGTCACAGGGTTTCTTGTACTTCCTTAGTAGCCAGGTCAAGAGCAATGTGGCTATTTTGCTCCAAATTTAGAGTCTCCTACTTGAACTAATATCTGTCCTAACGGGAGACTGTATTATAGGGTGACACGAACCCAAACCCGAACCCGACGTGCCTTATCAAATCTCCTGTAGAACATCTCTCCTGTCGCTCGAAGAAAGTATGTTACACAATGGCACATGTTGTTTCTATGTCCAGATTTGTCTGCAATCAGGGTGAAGTTTTTCGTGGTCCCATTTTTTAACATTTTCGGCGATATTTCAAATATTATTATTGGCTAGATACATACTTTTATCAATGCATTCAGCTGGTTTAAGTATGTCCGTTCCTTTACGTACTATAACAAGAAATGCGAAATTGAAAAGGCATTCTTAGCTTATTCGTTCTTCATTCCACTATATATACCAGCTATTCATACAAATACAATTGTTTAACGTGATTGCATTTTATTGTAATTTTAAATTAATTTTTTTTTAACTAACGAAAAAATAATTAAGTTATTATAATGTTGTTGGAGCCAGTGCACTTGAGCACTTTTACTCTTGCTTAACTCGAGGTATTTTAAAAACCCCTTTTTACATCTTGACTGCATTAATGTTTATCACTTTATTAGACTAAGCAATAATTGACCTCAGCTCTTCATACCTCCCCGAGCAGCTTGTAGCCATTGTGAGATTTGATAACGCGGTGTTGATAAGTCTGTCAGTTTTCGCAAATAATTTCAGGGCTTATGCTTTATGTATTTATGTATGATGGGATTAAACTTGAGGTCCCTGAAAATGACATTCGTCCTAATGTACCAAGGAACTTTGAAAAGTCTTCTCAGAGCCTGGCTTTGTGCAATTTCTAACTGGTCAATAGTAGTGTTTGAAGCTTTGCTAAACGCTACACAACCATATAGAAGTGACGGACGAATTAATGGGTTATATATCAGTTTCCTGTGCTTAGCATTGAGATTTTGATTTCTGAATAGCGGTTGGAGGTGATGAAGAATTTTGGCACAGCTAATTCTTATTAGCTATAATTCTGAATTTACAAAATAGAAGCTGTGAACGGAAATTGTAACTTTAAATTAGTGGGTGGTTGTCAAATAAATTTAATGGTGCGCAAATCTAAGGTATCGCTTCTCGCACTCATTTTTCGCTTAATCTTTGAATTTCTTGACCGGTTCGTTTACAGAACGTATACATCATTACTTGAAACACAGCTTCACTTATTTATTATTTACTGAGAATAACAGATATTGGCTGATGCATATTGCTGCTGATATGGTTGTCCAGGGTAAAAGGTTAATTTGTCCTCACGATATAAAAAATGTAATTTCATTTTTATTAAATTTAACAGTATTAAGCAATTCTTTTACTAATAACTTAAATCACTATATTGGCTTACCCTGTACGAGTATTAACAGAGTTCCTTAAAGTGTCAATGATATTTGATATCATTTACATTGCCTATTCTATTATTGCTTGTATTTATTATTGTGTAAATGATATACACAAGATAAGATTATTGTTACATATGCTATTATTTAATGCTTAATTCAACAACTTAAAACAATTAATTAAATCAATTTTGCCCTTTGGCTCATCTTAATTCATTATAAAAGGCTGTCAAACCTTAGGTTTGGATTCAATTTAAGCCACCTCAAGTAATCCTTAAATTAGCGTCTAATTAGACATGGTCGGTTTGTTTGACGATGTAAATGATATATTTACGATTTATTTGATGCATGATTTGTGGGGGAAGGCATAAGGATTGCCTATGCTAATTATTTTGCATTAAGGATGCGATTTTCCCAGTAACAGAAGCTGCAATAAAATGCCAGCAGAAGGAAAATTTGCAATGATTTTCAGTTTAGTTATGTATTTAGGCGGAATTGTTAACGATTGGAATTCGCTGTAATGCACTTTATTAAATAAAGTTGAAATTATTTTTGGCGAAGTATGCTTAAATTATCATTAGCTTCACTGAAATGATTTCGACAGTTGCATTCTCATTGGACTCATGTTACTCATACGCACTGGGGAACTTTAATTGGAATTTTAGCAGAGCAAAAATGATTAGCCCATACTTATTTTGAGCATTTTGAACGTAATTGGCTTGAATATATCGTTGTGGGGGCTTGAAATGGATAAAGTGAAAAAAGTGAAATGAAAACCAACAATCTGACATGTGCATATATTTTGTGAAAAACATGGCATACGCATGTGTTTCGTATGTGAAATTAATCTGATAATACATTCGCAGTTAAAATGTGAGCGGTAGTGATTGCGAAATCTATAAAAGCTGTTATTATGACTCTAGTGGTAATAAAAATTGTAATAAGTATTTTATGTTAATTTGCTGGTATCTAAACTGCAAATCTGGCGTTTTGATATTTTACAAATACATTTTATTTTCTCGTTTGCGCGATTTTGTTAAATTTATTTTAATACATTGCCACATGAGCATGGACTCGTACTCGTACTCGTAGTACTCGTAGTCGCACTCGCCGTACTGGTACACACATGCGAGCCTACAATATCGGGCCTATAAATAAAATGCGAATTTGTGGCATTGTGTAGTTTTCATTTGTTAACCAAATGACCCCAAAATGTGCCAATGGCAGTGGCATTATTGCTTTAGTGGGAGCAAAATTTATTTGCTGTAAGTCAAATAGTTCATAATAAATTGCTTTGCTGTGGATTTGCTGCTCTCGTTCCCAGTTAGCTATCGCTTTTGTTATTGTTAGTATTGTTAGTATTGTTGCTTTTTTTTTTTGTTTAGCCATTCATACTTTTTGTTCGAACATTTTCTATTAGAACCAAGCACTGCAGAAAAAACCAATTGTATTCACCAAAAAAAAAAAGATCTCTCACAATTTACATTTTTCCCGCTTGTCTTTAATAGCGAATTTATTTAAATAAATTTGAAATAAATGAATGAAAGTTTTGTTATACAATAAATTATTTTGTTTTTCTAATCATTGTAAGTTTACAAAATGTTTACAACCGTCATTTTAACGCTCCTATCTTCCTAAGTCCCTCGGACATTTGTAGCTTTTGATTAAAATCAAATATCAATAAATGTGCCATTTCGATACAAAGCCAACTTTTTCATACTAAGAGTATTTTGGTTTATAGAATTTATATTTATAGTATTTTGTTAAATATTTTTTTTTTACGCAATCAGGACATATCTTAATGTATTCACGAATATTCAAAGGAAATGTTTACGATTTATATGAACATTAACTGTAATGCAAAGGACTTCAATGGAAAAATAATTATGATTTTACATATATCAAATAAATTATTTATTTAAAATTTTTTTATCATAATCACGACTAGTTTCTTTTTGATTTTAGCAGGTCTAACTACATTTTCTAAAATACATTTTAGCATAAATTTACGCATAAATTTTTTCGTTTAGTTGGGTTTCATACAAGCACCAACAAGTGTTGTCCAAATAATAATTCTAGGGCGGAACATATTAAATTTTGTCTCAAAACATTTTGCATTTTGCGTTTCGAAAAGCCTAATTTTTATCATCAGGGGCATCAGATTTTTCATTGCATATGGCACAATCCTCATCATCACGCAAACATAATTCAGTTGCTGCATTAGAAGCATCTCGCATTATCTCAGTTGAGTTCAGACTGGCCCCAGCTGTCTCAGCCTTAACACTGTCGACATCAGTGATATCAGGTGCGCTTTTTTTGACTTGCTCTGCACCTAAATAAACATCACGAGCAATCTGAATCATCTCAGTTGAGTTCAGACTGGCCCCAGCTGTCTCAGCCTTAACACTGTCAAAATCAGTGATATCAGGTGCGCATTTTTTAACTTTTTCCGCATCACGAGCATTCTATAAAAATTCGATCTTTTATTAAACAATTTATTAATAAAGCATAATCTGTTACTTCAATCACGCCCAGCTCACTTGATTCAGTAAATTCAGTATTTGATGAATCATTTCTATTGTCGAAAGCCTCGACAGCACACTTGATCAAACAAAAAAAAATGAATTTCAAAAAATTTGATGTTGTAGTACTTACTATGTAATCCTTTAGTGTCATCTTTTTTTTCTTTTTCTTTTTTCTTCCAGTTTTTTCAGATGTTAGTTTACAGCTTGTTTCGGCAATAGTTTTTGGGCTATAGAAATACTTATTATCCTTATGTACTTCTACAAAATCTTCATCTATGTATTCAGTAAGGTATTCTTTAACTTGAGGAAACACTATATTGTACTTCCTTCCCGTGGTGTTTCTTATTTTATATGCTATCTGTTGAGGACTTGCTGGCTTTCCTATTATTTGTAATGCTTCTATTATCATATTTTTCACATCCATTATTTGACCCTTCAGTTTTTTTTATTAATTTTTTAAGAAACAAATTTGTATTACGACTTCAATGAAAATGAATTTTGACTATGATGTATAAAAAAAATTTTTAGTTATTCAAAGTGGATTAAAAATTAATGCTAACTACGTTTTAAAAATATGGAAGTTTATTGAGAAAACAATATTTATACTACAATGGAGCAAACGGCATAACTGAGTCCCAATTTCTGATAATTACTGCTTCAACTTCATAACGCCCAAATGGGTTAAAAAGTTGAAGGCTCGACACTTAGATGGGGACTCTAAAGTAAAATTTATTTTACTCTTTAATGATATTAGTTATGCTATGCACTATATATGTCAAAAGTCAATGATATTCCAATTATAGTTTAAGGTTAAATGAAATGAAACTTTTCTTGCTATTTCCCCCTTTTGTGAATAGTGTAGCTTTCTTGTCATATGACAAAAATAATTATTAATTAAAAATAATATTTATTTTTATTATGATTTGGCATGTTCCTAAGCGTATATGATCATATATCATAAGAATGAGAACTTAACCTAACTACTAGTTGTTTCCAATTTAGACTATCTTTAGCTAGATATCTTAATGTATTAATCGATGTTTTATTATTTTTAATAGAGTATCTCTCAACGTAGTTCTAGTGCAATTTCTGCCCTTCTGTTCCGATAGGGTTCCAAAAGAGAGCTGAATTTGCAAGATTTTGCTGGTCCTTTCATAAAGGGTCCGTTACTATCGAGATGTTATCCGATTTAGCTCTGGAATTGACAAAATTACTATTTCTAGTAGATACGCGAATCAGTAAAGTTTTAGCAAGCATACATGATTAGTCCGAGCTACCTTGATCGGTAATGGAATTCCTGTCTTAGTCCGCTTGGTTTAGTTTAGTGTAGACATTTTCTTCTAGCATCAGATGATGCTCATGAGAAACTATAGAGGATACATTATGAACCTTGATCTCCAGAAATAATATTCAATGTTTATAAACCGATGACTTGCTTTCGGTCAAAAAGAATTTGCAGACACCAAACATTTTTAGCTAAATTTTTTTGCAATAATATATTAAATATAGTGATGAAGATTTCTCATCAGGTACTTAACTTTGTGGTACTTAATCTGAGCTAAATAAGTATTAAATATTATTTAATTTAGTATTGGGAACGTAACTAAATGCTTTTCACCACCAATATCTTCTCTAACAGCAGTTATTGGCACAATAAAAAAAAGCGAGGAAATTGTCGTTGTTAGTGGGCCTAAATTATCGACATGCAGAAGAGAAAAGGAGAAGAGCCATTTGCAGGATAACCAGACTTTGCAATTTGTTTTCCAATTTGTTAATTTGTTTACTTTGCAATCATGTCAAGTGGAAAAATTTTGCCATTTAAACTAATTAAACTGCCCGATTTTTTACTGATTTTATTCTGATTCTTCTCGATTTTTTCTAATTTGTTTTCGTATTCGATTGTGAAAAAGTTTAAATGTGAAAACCAAAACAAAAAAGGAATAGAAATGAAAATGGAAATGAAAATGAAAATTGTTTCCAATACGATTGCCAGTTCGAACTTTACTTTTAATAAATTAGGCAAATGAGACCACAACGTGATTATTTTTGGTTGGCCTACAAAAAATGTGTGGGAGAGAACCAAATAGGAACACGTAAATTAAGAAGTTGAATTATGGATGAATGGGAAAATGCGAAATTAAATTCAACTTCGTGCGGATGAACTTTAAGTTGGGAGCTGCGTTGGCTTAAAAGCAAAAAAATTTGGCAACCTCCAAAGGACCTAACAGGAAGAAGTGTGTTTCAGTGCCCATATGTGTACATGTTTATTTACTTTTATGAATTCTTGACTTTTCGTTTTTATTATTTTAAGTATTCAAAACACGCACACATTTCGCCTAAAACAAACATTTGCTATTTGAATTTTTTCCTCATAATAATATAAATTTATCTCGCTCCGAGAATTTTCAGCAAAAATCTCAATGATTCTTCAGTGTTTGCGCTTTGCTGGTTCCAAGAGAATTTTTGCATATTTTAGGCATTTTGCCATGCAAATATTACTGCGAACATTAAAAACACATTAAAGGGCGCTACTGGGCTTAATTAGTTCTATGAGCCGCACTTTTTCTATTAATTTTTTTTTTTTTTTGAGTTTTCCTACTTAACTAAAGCAAAAAAAAAATGAAACCCATTATTAAAACTACGGAGGCAAACATTTTCAAAATTCAGTTGTAAGTACATTAATATAAAAACCAACTTTTATAACAATAAAATTTCAATTTTTATAAGCAGTATTGAGCCCAGCCTTGATCTGGGCAAGGAGGAAATCACTGGGAGGAGAGCTGCTCTCTCCTTCTGACATTAGGAGGTCCTCAACGGACGACATTCTGGCCTTCATTCGGAAAGCGGAATGTCTTCTGTTCAATTAGGGTCAGTTACGGCACAAAAGATCAATCTGGTCGCAGTGCTCTGCTCCAGTGGGAGCTAGTACCCTGTTTATTTCTATTTCTATTTCTAAGCAGTATTGAAGGTTTCCATTTATATATATTTATATAGATTAGTTTAATCAATGCGTTTGTTTAGCGGAAGTGACCAAATCCTCAAAAACAGTTTGCGTAAATCATTATTTTTTAATATAATCTTTCTCAATTTCAGCATATATAATTTAAAGATTCAGCAATATTTGAATAACATCTCTGTTGTTCTTTTACTTACTTACTTCGTCCTTGGCCGCGTCGAGTAGCCTCCGCCAGTCAGCCTGATTAGTTGCTTTCTGACGCCAATTGGTAGTACCGAGCGCCCCCAAATCGTTGGTCACCTGGTCCTTCCACCGCAGATGCGGACGTCCTCTTCCGCGTTTTCCACCTGCGGGTACCGAATCAAATACCTTTCTAGCTGGAGCACTTTCTTCCATTCGCACGACATGACCAAGCCAGCGTAGCCGCTGAATTTTTATGCGCTTAACTATGTCAATGTCGCGGTATAGCTCATACAGCTCATCGTTCCATCTAATTCGACACTCGTCGCCAACGCGTAAGGGACCATACATCTTTCGAAGAGTTTTTCTCTCGAATGCTCCTAACGCCTTCTCATCACTATTGGTAATTGTCAAAGCTTCTGCACCATACAGCAGGACAGGCATGATAAGGGATTTATAGAGCGTGATTTTTGTTTGTCGAGAGAGGGCTTTATTTATCAATTGCTTACTTAGCCCGAAGTAACATTTGTTGGCTAGAGTAATTCTTCATTGAATCTCTAGGCTGATGTCATTTTTGGTGTTTAAGCTGGTTCCTAAATAAACAAAGTCTTTCACAACTTCGAACTTATAATTGTCAACAGTGACGTAGGTCCCAAGACGCTCAGGAGATTTGTTTGTTGACAGAAAGTACTTTGTTTTGTTGTTCTTTTACGAAACAGTAATAGGTGTTTCTTTTTTCATTGGACGATATCTTGTTTGAAAACAATTTCTTGTTAAGTGTGAGAAAAGAAAGGAAGAAATAAGCGTGCGGAAATCAGAAAATCTAAACTTAAACACATATGTTCTAACAACCCTTCCATTTATAAACATCAACTCCGTTCTTTTTCTTATTTCCCTCATAAACATCTTTTTAAACGTAAGATAAGCCGGGCATCAGAAAAAGCTAAATCTAAACACATATGATCCAAAAATCCCTCAATACATGGATATTATATGTTCCAGCGATTTTTGATTTTACGCATATCAATTTTGTTTTTGTTTTGCGAAACATTTAAAGCTCTTCCTTTTATGAAAATAGTTTTTTCCAAAAACATCAATTTAAACATGAGATAAATTGGAAGTTAAAAGAAGCCAAATAAGAGAATACATATAACAACGACCTCTCAAATTTTAACTATTATATTTATCGTTTCGCAAAGATCTTGAAAAGACAGACTTCCTTACGAAAGCTTTTGTCTTTTGTTTGTTGAATATGGGCGGTTTCTAGATATGAACACGTTTTCTAGCCGTATATTTGGGTACAAATCATTCGTTAGTCTCTACTTCTGATGCAGGGTTGTGAGGATAGACCCCTATAAGAGTTAAATGGTATATACGCAAAACTTTCCTATTTCTTTTAAAATGCTGTTGATGTTATTAAGAGTATAGCTTTCATATGTAATTATTGTTCCAAAGTTGCAGAATGAGAATCATATAATGGATACATGTTTTGAAAACCCAATACCTGACATTATGTTTTGCTCATTATATATAATCAAAAGTTTGGAACTGCTACTAAATCTTTTTTAATTACTTAACAGTCCACCAAAACTAGATCCAATATTTTTAATATGATTTCTGGTCTTTTTACAGTTTTAAGATTTTCTTTACATGTATAATGGTTTATATACGACGGCTTTTAATTAAACTACTCAAATTATAACCCTTTATCACAGTTCAATAATTATACAAGCTAGATATCAAGTGCATAAGTTAATAGTCAATACACCTAGGTTAAATTAGTCCGTTGTGGCACCACATTATCTCAGTTAGATGCTTAAATCTTTGAACCCATGTTGAACCACTATATTGATCTATTAGACCGCAATAGTTGTGGCAAAGAAATGTTGTAGGCACATGAAATATGCTCTAATTGATGACAATTACATCTACTAATATAACCACAATATGTTTCCAAAGAGCGCTCTTGATGAGTATTAATCAATGCTTGAAACAGCTGTATGGTCGGTCAAAAAATGTAATTTAATAAAAATAAAATTTTTTTGTTGTTGTAGTTCATTACTGTTACAACTGATTCTTTCGTTATATGACTTTAAAAGAATTAAATAACGTACCCATTGTTTTGGGTGTTTAGACTTACCTAATACAATCACAATGTTCGTAAGCAGCGTTTAATCTTTTTCCAGTGTTTAAAAATACACTGAGATATATATTGTAAATAAATTATAAACCAACAAATTAACTTCAAATTCTTTTGTAAAAAAAATGAGTTGAGAGATCAAATTAAAATTTTTAAGTGGGCTTCGTATGGTTAATACAGAAATAATATTAAAATTTTA